TCTCTAACTATTTATCCATCTCTCTTTCTTCCCTGGTCTCCGTGTGAATGTACAACACCATTTGTATGATTTTTTATGAATGTGTATGAATAGCAGAAAGAAAAGTGTAGGTTAAGTACCTTGCCTCCAAATTACCGAAAAAGCCCAATGTCTCAAACTCTGTCATTAATCAACTTGTTTTCTTTTATTTTTCTTGTTATTGTCTTGCGTGACTGACACTTTTTTAATGCTTAGGAAATGTCGATGCATTAGGAATTAATTCTAGGTTTCTGATTTTTCTCTCTCTTCTTACGTGCCCATGATATTTCTTTATTATTTCTTTTCTTCTGTTTCTTAGTTTTGGGATGTTGTTTCGCACGGAATTATTAAAGCTTGATAATTTACTTTTAGGCCTGTGTTCCCTCACATCACTCGTTCAATTAGGCCTGTAAAGTATATTTTTTTGTTGATTAATCTATATTCCTTGTTGGTATGTGAGTTTATCGTTATTATTTGCTTTTGTGTTATTTTTTTATCGATTGTTGTATTTGCCTTTTCTTTCCATCCCCCTTCGATGTCGATCTACACTACTATTGTCAAAATTGACATTGTGTGTCCATCCATCCATCTCTCTCTCTCTATCTATCTATCTATCTATCTCTCTATTTGTCTGTCTGTGTGTGTGTGTCTGCCTATCTATCTATCTATCTATCGATACATATGTATATATATATATATATGTATGTATATTTGAATTTATGTATGTATGTATACAGATAGATAGATAAGCAGGTAGAGAAATAGATATACTCGTACATACATACGTACATACATATATATGTGTATATATATTTACATATACACACATATATACACATATATATACATATATATATATATATATATATATATATATATATATATATATATATATATATATATATATAAACATATACATACATACATACTTACATATATATATACATATATATATGTATATATATATATATATATATATATATATATATATATATATATAAACATATACATACATACATACTTACATATATATATACATATATATATGTATATATATATATATATATATATATATATATATATATATATATATGTGTGTGTGTGTGTGTGTGTGTGTGTGTGTGTGTGTGTGTGTGTGTGAATGGTAAAATACTCAACATTGATATATATATATATATATATGTGTGTGTGTGTGTGTGTGTGTGTGTGTGAATGGTAAAACACTACCGTACTGATACTACGGTAGAGAAACCCACAATTCACAAACTAAATTCACTGAAAATGAGACATCCTCTTGGATCTTCTCTTCAGGTCTGAAAACAGGGATTATCTGCTGTCCCAAAACGACCTCTCGCCCACCTCCTTGGACTTGGAACTTCCGTATGACCTGGAAGTGTTGTGGGTGCGGGACACCACCCCCCCATCCACGCGTCCCTCATCTGCTGTGTGCTCTACCACCCTCCACGAGCCCCCACCAAACACCTGCTACTCAGCCACCTGACCCACACCACTGACCTTCTGTGTGTTCGATATCCGTCATTCAATATGATTATATGTGGTGAAATAGACACCCTTGACCTGCAAAATGAGCTCCATCTTTCACAAGTAGTCAACTTTCCCACTTAGAACAAAGAACCCTGGATTTGATCCTTACATATTTATATGACTAATACCAACCTCCTCTACCATTTTCTCCTGTCAGCCGCAGGAGACATGTTTGAGTGCTATGGCTGCCTTCACCCACCGTCTCTCAGCCAAAGCAGACCAGGAAATACTCAGTCACCCAGTCCTCTACCATACAATTCGGGCAGTGGATTACCCTACATCCGTAGACAGACATTCTTACTGCTGTTGATGTAGAGGACAAGTGGCATACGCCTCATTCAGCAGAGAAATCAAGCCTTCCACTCGTACATCACCTCTTACAAGTTAATTCGCAACACAATCATTAGGAAAATAAAAATAACCAAGACCTTCTGCCACAACAAACTACAACACCTGCAGCCCAGGAGAGTTCGGGGGTTGTGCGGCCTTGCAAATTGACTGTAGACGTTTCCATGTACCACCAACGTCAGCCTCAGTGAAACAGCAGAGGCTCTCAATGACCCCTTCGATTCGATTTGTCAGCAGCTACCCCCCCTGGACACCACCCACTTCCCCGCCTACCTACTGGCCCGCTCACTTGCTCCAACTGTCAGCCAGTTTTAGGTGTTTCAGAAGCTGGAAAAAATCTGCATCAAGAGAGCCACCACCTCCCTTGACTTGCCCATGCGCCTGATCAAGGAGTTCAAGGAACTTACCATTCGTCTTGCCTCCATAACACCTCACTGCAACAGTACTAAGTGCCTATCACATTAGAAGACCGCCTTTGTCACTGCCATCGGCAAAACCCCAAGTGCCGCCTCATTCGGCGAACTATGACCCATTGCCATTACTCTGTTTTCCAGCCTGCTATGTAAAACTTTGTCGCTGACTGGGCTTACTAGGACCTCACGCCCAGCGTTGACAGTGGGCAGTTCGGCAACATGCGCTCCTCCCCTACCACACACTGCCTAGTCAGCTTCCTCGGATTCGTCCTGACCCACCTTGACAAGCGCAAATCCCCTGCCACCAGCATTTTTATGGACTTCAAGAAAGCCTGCAGGCTGGTGGACCACACCACAGTCTTCTCAAAAGCAATAGTTACCATGGGCATCAGGGTATGCCTCATCCCCTGGCTGGCAGACTTTCTCTCTAAGAGGCAACAGGCTGTGCGTGTGCAGGGTCAAGTTTCCAGCCTCTTGCCACTCACTTGTACCCCAAGGGACAAGCATGGGCCCCCTGTACTTTATCATCATAATTAATGCCTCGCTCCTGGACACCGAGCATTATTGGAATTACGTAGATGACTCGACCATCGCCGCTGCTATTGATAATCCCTGCCCTGACCACTCTGCCATCCAGGGTAAAAAAGAGGCCAGATCATTTTCGGTCTTGTCTATACTAGCTTCGATACCGCCTTGACTACCCTAGGCCTCACCTCCTTCACCACCCACTGCAGCAGTTTGAAGCTGCTGTGCCACCCACGCCACCACGACCTGCTGTCCCCGGACGCGCCGCCAACAAACTGGTGCCCACACTGACCACTAGCACCGGTTCGACTCATCAACGAGCACTAGTCAGTGGACCGCCCCCTTACCTCTTTTACGAGCACTAGTTTATTTTGTTGTATGTTGTTTAAATGTGTTTATATATGTATAGTTTGTCTCTTTACCTTTATTTCTATGTATATTTTCAGTCACTAGATGCATGAGATTCAATAAACCGATTATCATTATTATCATTATTGTTATTACTATCATTAAAATGAAAGCCAGGAGGATTTTCAATAGATCTAGTTTGTATATATGTATACATATATGTATATATATATATATATATATATATATATATATATATATATATATATATATATATGTGTGTGTGTGTGTGTGTGTGTGTGTGTGTGTGTGTGTGTGTGTTTGTATATATATATTACATGTGTGTCTATACATTACCTACATCTATACACCCATGTGTGTGTGTGTTTACAGTATGTATATATATGTTTATATATTTAATAAAATTTTAGGACTAATACATCACATACACACACACACACATACACACACACACACACACACACACATACACACACACACACACACACACACATATATATATATATATATATATATATATATATATATATATATATATATATATATATATGTATATATATATATATATATATATATATATATATATATATATATATGTATGTATGTATATGTATGTATGTATGTATACCCACATATATACAAATATATAATACACACACACATACACACACAAACACACACACACACACACACACACACACACACACACACACACACACAGACACACACACACACACAGTCACACACACACACACATATATACGAGTATGTACATACATACATACATATATACACACACACACACACACATATATATATATATATAGCCTAGGAGGCAGGAATTTCACATGCATGATGATATTCTTTAGGTCATGTGTTGATTTCAAGTCCTTTACTTATAAACGGAACCTGCTCGGGCGTACCCCATAAGCGAAGCGCAGGAGCCCCGTCTGACTCCTGTGATAAGTGAGCAAGGGCTACCACGTCAGAACGGGCGCAGTTAAAGAAGCCAGTTCAGAAGATTAGAGTTGAAATGCTGAACGTGGGAAGTCTGACAGGAAGGAGTAGAGAGTTGGCAGATGTGATGGAGAGGAGAAAAATAGGTGTGCTGTGTGTGCAGGAAACCCGGTGGAAGGGAAACAAATCGAGGGAGATAGGAGAGGGTTGTAAACTCATTTACACCGGAGCCAACAACCAAGGGAGAAGTGGAGTTGGGATTATCTTGGACAAAACGTGGAGAGAAAATCTAGTCCACGTTGGAAGGAGAAGTGACAGGATAATAAGCGTCAAGCTTGCGGTAGGAAAACTGATGCTAAATGTCATCTGTGCCTATGCACCACAAGTAGGATGTAGTACTGAAGAAAAAGACGAGTTTTGGCAACAACTGGATGTGGAACTACTGGCGATACCGCAGGAAGAGAGGGTGTTCTTAGGAGGAGACCTAAACGGTCACTTAGGCCCTGAGAGAGAAGTCCTGCACAGGGTACATGGAAGATGGGGAATGGGTGAGTTAAATGAAGGAGAATGGTTCATAGATTTTGCATTAGAGAATGATATGGCCATAGCGAACACTTTCAAGAAGGGTGCCCACCAATATGTCACTTACAAAAGTGTAGAAGGAACCATCTTGGTGTAGAAGGAACCATCTTGGTGAGGTGAAAAATTGTAGTTTTAGATTGCGAAGTGAAGAGCGCGAAGAGGGGGAAACAGCTAAGCACACCAAAGATTAAGTGGGGGAAACTAAAAGAAGAACATCTCAAGGTGGAGTTTAAGGAGAAAAAG